GGCAAGTTACCCGCAAGACAGCAATGTTTTCGGCGTTCTTCAACCATATTATCCTTGATACTCCTTTGTTGCCGCAAGGCATCCTCTCAAAGTCTTGTTGCCAACCAAACGACCTACACGTCTCTGCGAAGGCGCACGTATCCTAAAAAAAATGATGCTACGAAAAGACATGTTCCTCTTTTTTTTTGGACCACTCTGATTTTTCCGATCCGCCAACCTTTTTCCCAGCAGTGGCTCAATATCGGCGAGTGCGGTTTTTATGGCAGGGGCGTTGTTGTTCTTGGTGTGGGTTTATCACGTCTGTTGTGGGAGTCCTCGGGTCTCTCGCCTGGTCGGGACCGGTGTGTGTGTGTGTACGTCGAGCCGTGGCGCTTTCCGTAATGTTTGAAAAAATATGCGCCTTCGCGCCTTCTGCCGATAAGAACCACCGGAAACCCTAGTTACGGTTCCGTGAAAAAAGTTACTATTTGGTGAAAAAAGTTACGTATTTTTTCGGCCTGATAACAATACCCCTAAGACAGGTGCGCCATTTCCCCCTCATTGCCACAACTTTTTTTTTTTTCGTAGTGTGCGCGGGGCATTTGATAGGGTGGACGGCAGTTCGAAGCAGGTTAACAGTCGGGTAACGCATACCAGTGGTGCGAAAGATTTGCGTACTTCCAAAATCCTATGTCAAGTAGTTCTCGTGTTCCAACCGCAAGAGCCACAGAAAATATATAAGTAAAGGAACTGATGTACAACAGATTGGGGGCTATTTCTGTGCAAATTCGCTGTCATGCGAATGATGCTTGCGTGTCAGAATCGAGTAAATAAAGAGTGTGGGATTTGACTTTGTTTGGCTTTGCAATTGCGACCCTGCTCTTCTTGTCCCTCAGGGCAAGTACAGCAGTGTGGACATAGTTATCGAGAAGAAGGGGTGTACATTTTGCCGCAACGTGCGAGGGGTGCCGGGCGACGAGTGGCAACAACACGGGTACACTTCGTATTCGGAGAGACAGCTGTCCACATGGAGTTGCTACTGGAGGTTAGGGCGCTCGTTCACGGTGGCACACCCATCACGACAGCACGGCGAGGTCTCTTGCAGCACCTGGAAACCGATTTGATATGGATGGGATAACACCCCCAAACTGGCAACAAGGTGGATACAGGGAGGTATGCGAGTTTCTCAGTTTAGGGTCCTGGAGGACGGGTCAAGTAGTGCTGTAGCATGGCCGGGTTTAGAACATCACCTCCTCTGTACCCCACGCCCACCTTTTTCCAATATTTGGTTCGGTCCACGACCCCTTTTGAGTCCCTGTGGCAAGGATCTGTTTTGATGTGAATGAACGTAATGCTCTGGCATCCAAACGTGACGCGGTTCGTATCAGAAGGGCTGGAGAAACCAAGGCTGACGACTCTCACGCATTGTCTTGTGTTTGCTGGTAATGCTAGCAAGGCCCGACGTGTATGAGGACTTCGATATTGTATATTTCAAATGTAACTGTCTTCCTCAATTTCGACTTCCCTGAACCTGAACGGGCTGGGTGGCACTTGCCTCTGTAACGACCCCCCCTCTGGAATCGGATGGAATCGGATGCCTTGTGTTCGTTTTCTCCTCCTGTTTTTCCGCTGCAAAGGTTTCGACGGGGATGGACGGCCTGACCCGATCACTTCTAGCAATCTATCTCGCTTTCGAGGCTCTCACGGATCATCCGTACGAGTTTTCCAGCATAGCCGCGGGGTATTTCCCTCTGACAACATCTTGCGATGGCTGCAACAAGCTGGCGACCAACAACATGACGCTGGAGAGGTTCCTGGCTCAGCGTGAAGAACTAGTGATTGACATGGACCTAACGGCTGGTTGGCTTACGCTGAGCATGCTTTCGCCCATCGTTTTCTCGAAGCGGCTGCAGTTCGTGTACACGACGCCCAATAAAGTTCTGCCGGCACAACCGGAAGTCGAACATATTTGTTCTTGCGGCAAGAGGGGCCGTCCGGAGAAACCAAGACTTGGAGGGATTGAACTACAACGAGCTCATCGCTTGGGTGAGGAAATCGGGGGAATCGACACTGGCGGCGCGACAATGGGCAGATTGAAGGCCCTCTACAAGAGATGCTTGCGGAAGAATGGGAGGAAGACTTCTGTTCAGTGAGTACTGTATGTTGTGCTCCAAGCTGGTTTTCGGCCGTTGATGGAGCAGGATGGTTCGAAATACACGACAGCAGGTTTCGAACTGTGGGCACATTTTGGCGTCGAGATGTCTGTTTTCGAGGAGATACGGCAGTGCCGGCATTTGAGACCGATTTTAGATGACCGGTGAGAATTTTTGAGTGCGGCAACCAATTTGGAAGTGTTTTGCACATACGTCATGCCCGTGTGACAATACCCAGTCAAACGTAAGTAGAAGCAGTTTACATTCCAAGGTAAAAAAAATATTCAATGCAATATGTACTGCATGGAGGGTACAGGAAAGGAAATGCAGGGAAAGTGGGTCTTGAACCGGTAACCTCCATCGTTGACGACGGGTAGAAAGCACATGGTCTTCAAAGTAGGGTTAATGTCAAGGGGGTGACGTACGAACTTTTATACCTGCAAAGTCGACAGACATTTTCCCGTGATTGTTTTTTTACGGCACACAAGTAGATACACATCAAGTTATGATCATATTGCCCCACGGAAAAATCCGAGGCCACAACTACGGAGAAGTTGCTTTTGGTTTTAATTTTCATGCTACGGTTGTTGTGCTGCGTTCCACTCCGAAGCGGGTCGGAAATCATCCCACCGCAGTGTAAAGTAGCTCTGAAAGGAGGGCTTTCCAAACATACATACCAATTTTTCTGTTGGGTCGCCATATATGTTGATTCATTGCGATTTTGGTGGGATGAAGTGCCCTCTGCGGTAGTGATAATAGGGCCGTAACTTTCTTCAGAAGACGAAGCAACAGCTTCCGATGCGCTAATTCGAACGCTGCGAGGAGCGCTTTCTCACGAACACTTTGGATCCATTTGATTATGTGGTGTGCGTATTTTTTTACTCTCGACCCCTTATACCGGTCTTACATGCCGTCACTGGGCCGGGAACATCTACTTCGAAGATTGCTGACTGAAGCTACGCCATGCTGTCGTCTTGTGGGCCTCTCTTGCCGTCAACCCTACACCAGGCCCGAAACTGTACCCTTGATGCGGGAGCTGTTCACGAGGCTCTACGAGAAGGCCCTCAAAGTCACTAGAGGCAGCGTGGAATGCTCCAAGGCGCTGATGGGTCGGTACTCTGCTGCGACGACTGGTGTTGGTTCTACTCTGTATCCAATGGGGTGCAAATAATGCACATGTTCCTGCTACGGCCGGAGGGACCCGTCGACGCGACCGACATATTCCTGTTCTGCAAAGTTTGTTGTGAAGTTGGAAAGTAATTAGCTTATACATGGAGGAGCCCAACGCGTCGATCAGCCCATCTCCAAAATACGAAGTCGTAGCCCATCTGTTAATCGATGTACCCACGAGTATGAACGTTCAAAAGTACTTGCCGACGGCCGTTCCAAACGGAGCTTTCCTTTGCCCTGGGGCTCTTTACACTGGGGGGG